TAACAATTTATCATGCTATCATGAAATCATTTAATCAGATAATCACGTATTTATTGCCTTGGGTGATAACCAAGATCCAGTTATCACATTATCCACCCCTCAAAAGAATTCCGACCCGAAATTCCTTTAATGAAAAAGCCAAGGGTATTCTGATCTCATCTTTGACTCTAGTTCCCATATTACTTCCGTTCCTTTGTGAAACTTCCACTGCACCTTAAACAGACTTATTTCTTTATTTCTCAACACCCTGATCTTTCAGTCAATTACGGCTTTCGGTGTTTCCACAAAATTCAGTTTACTGTCTAATTTAATCTCTGGCAACGGTACAACTAAACTTGGATCAGCCAAACATTTCCGCAGATTTAATACATGAAAAGTGTTGTGAATCAGATTCAGTTCTTCTGGCAGCTCTAACTGATATGCTACTGGTCCAATTCGTTTACATAATCTGAACGGCCCCAGATACCTTGGACTAAGCTTACCCTTCTTTCCAAACCTAACGACACCCTTCCATGGCGTAACTTTTAACATCACAAAATTATCTACATAAAATTCGATCGGCTTTCGACGATTATCTGCATAACTTTTCTGGCGATCTTGTGCTGTTTTGATTTTTTCATGGATCTGTTCGATCTTTTCATAAGTTTCTTGGACAATTTCAGGACCCATCAGCTGTTTTTCACCCACCTCATTCCAACATAACGGCGTTCGCCATTTACGTCCATACAACACTTCATACGGTGCCGCTTGGATGCTGGAATGGTAATTGTTGTTATATGCAAACTCTATTAATGGCAAATGATCTTCCTACGATCCCCCGAAGTCAATAATACAATTTTCTTAACAGATCTTCGAGAGTCTGGACAGTTCTTTCACCCTGCCCGTCAGCCTGCGGATGATAAGCTGTACTTAGTCGGATTTCAGACCCCAAAGCTTTATGCAACCCTTCCCAGAACTTCGAAGTAAACCGACTATCTCTATCAGAAATAATAGATAATGGAACACCATATCGGGTAACAATTTCTTTCATGTAAATATGTGCTAGCTTCTCTAAAGAGTATCTCTCTCTTATTGGTAAAAAATGCGCAGATTTAGACAGACGATCAACAATTACCCAAATCGCGTCATACCCCTTTGGAGTTCAAGGTAACTTTATAACGAACTCCATGGTAATGTGATCCCATTTCCATACAGGTATCTCTAAAGATTGAAGACTTCCATACGGCTTCTGATGTTCAATCTTAACTTGTAACCATGTCAGACACTGTTCCACATATCTAGCTATGTCTCTCTTCAATCCGGGCCACCAATAAAAAGGTTTTAAATCTATTTACATCTTATTGGTACCTGGATGGATAGAGTATTGGGACTTATGGCTTTCATTTAATATAGTGTTTCGGATATCTCCAAAACATGGTACCCAGATTCGCCCTTGAAAGCACATTAGTCCCTCGTCATTCTGTTCCAAGGTCGAAATTATCTTACCCAACCTTTCTGTCTTAACAAATTCTTCTATCACAGCTTCTTGTTGACATTTCTGAATTTCTTTACGAATGTCAGGGATCAAATTCATTCTCATTGCCACAGCTTTAATGGTTCCACTCTTTTCTTTCCGGCTTAAAGCGTCAGCCACCACGTTAGCTTTTCCCGGGTGATAAAGGATTTCACAATCATAGTCATTAACCAGTTCAATCCACCGACGCTATCGCATATTTAATTCCTTCTGGCTGAACAGATGTTGTAAACTTTTATGGTCAGTATAAATCTGACATTTCGTTCCTAAAAGATAGTGTCTCCAAATTTTCAGAGCAAATACCACTGCAGTTAATTCCATGTCATGGGTTGGATACTGCTTCTTATGATCTTTTTATTGTCTTGATGCATAAGAAATCATGATGCCCATATCTAGTTCTAAACGCTGTTATGGCAACATCTTCTTCCTTGACTTTGAGCTGATGATACCCTGACCTTAAATCAATCTTGGAGAAATAACTTGCTCCTACCAATTGATCGAACAAGTCATCAATCCTTGGTAAAGGATATTTGTTTTTTATTGTCAACTTATTCAGTTCACTATAGTCTATACACATTCGCATAGACCCATCCTTCTTCTTGACGAATAAGACTGGAACACCCTAAGGTGAAGTGCTGGGACTAATAAATCATTTGTCAGTTAAATCTTTCAACTGTGCAACCAGTTCCTTTAATTCAGATGGAGATAACAGGTATGGTGCCTTTGCTACTGGTGCAGCCCCTGGTACTAAATCAATTTAGAACTCAATGACTCTATCTGGTGGTAATCTAGATAAGTCTTCTGGATATTCACTAACAATCGGAATCGATTCCTTTTTTCTCTTCTCTTTCTTCATATCAATTACGTATGCCAAACATCCCTGGCACCTCTTCCGAATGCTTTTCTGAGCTTTCATTACTATTAAAATACTGGTATGGTGATTCTGACGATCACCATAAACAACAACTGTTCCTTGATCTGGCAGAGTAATTCTGATCATTTTCTGATTACAAACAATACTAGCCTGATACCTTGCCAACCAGTTCATACCCACCACTACATCAAATTCCTTCATCGGCATGGGAAACAACTGAATCGGAAGTTCACAACCCTCAATCATAATATTACAATCGGACCCCACGATCTCTCCCAATCGAACCCACGTCCTCGCTCCCTCGATTGCCCCCCGAACCCAAGTAGTCTCCTCCTCACGAACTAGAAAACAACCTCTGTTGGGTTGCTGTTGCTGGACTGCTGCTGTTGGGCTTTTTTTTTAAATTTGAGAAAATATGCTTCATTTTCACTTCATTTGAATTCGTATGCCCAGTCCAGAACCCATTTCGTAAATATGCTCAGCCTCATATTCCTTCAGAAAACTATGCCCGACCTTGTAACAGTTTCGAAATATATGCTCTGTTTGTATTAAAATCCATCCTTTTTGCACCTATCAAAGACCAGTGAATAACTAAATTAAAGGGGTTCTATAAGCTATATAAACATTACAATATGTACTAGATTCATTATGAAAACATGTTTAAATATAAGCTTATCAAATAATATCCCCACACTTGGACCATTGACCATCCTCGGGCAAACAGTAAGCATTTAACATGGATGAAAGTCAAGAGTTAAGTTTTAGAGAACCGACAAAAAGTACATAACATTTCATGAAGGTACAACTTAGCCGACATAGTAACAATCAACACACAAGACAACCAAAGATGAACACTTGCTAATCTCACAAACACCTCACAAATGATATAAACCTACTCTAATTGCTCATTCACACAAAGCACAAGTGTTTTCACTCTTGGCATCAATTCACATGCACATGCACTACCATAAGCTTGAATTAGGTCTCGATTCTCCATCGTTAATGGTCAACCTAGGTATAGATCAAAAAGGTCTTTTTAGTAGGGTTGTAACATGGCTAAGGGTTTTGGTAGGGAAACTTTTGGGTTAAGTGACTAAAAATGGACTTTGGAAGGGAAACTACAACTCAATGCTTGACTTTTGTGTTTTGCACATCAAAGCGATCACAAAATCTCTCAACTTTCTAGCTCTTATTTGCTAAGAATGCTATGGAGAAAATTGTATTTTTTTTAATTCGGTCTCCATTTATTCATGTATATATATATATATATATATATATATTTCACTTCCATACATGAAATATATTGGTTTTTTTTCTTTCGAATCTCTATCGATCATCATATAGGCATTGTGGATCGGGTATATGATATACAGACCGTACAACAAGTCTATCTAACTAAAAGCTTGTAGTCTCATTCCAAAGTCATGTGAGGAAAGTGTTTGGCTAAGGGGTATGTACTTGGTGTAAAAGTCAAGAAAATGGGTAATTAGGCTCAAAAGAGGTGACCAAAAAGGAAAACACTTAAGGGTTTGCTTTAGG